GCTAAGAAGGGAAAATGCCACAGATAGAGCAACAGTTAAAAGTTAAAGTCAAAGTTGGGCGCGCGAAGCGCCCTGGAGGCCTGTATAAATACATACATGAAGTTCTGTCAACCAATGTTTGTAATCTTACCTTTATCAATCTCTCAAAATGAAGCGTTAAACCGTTTAACGGCTATTTTGGTTCAAATATCAAGGGTAGGTTAGGTAGTGTAGGTAATTCGACTGGAATCAGTTACGTATCGTGCCGGAGTATAATTAGTTTGAATAATGTGCGATCTTTCTTCCAAAAATCATCTAGCTGATATGAAGCAGCAGATAATTTATTTCTTCATTCTCAGTATCAGTCTTCTAACTGGAATATATTACCATAAAGGATGGATTGAAAGTTAACCCATGGAAACTTGAAGATTGAATTATGAATTAATATTTAATTAGTTTTTGGTATTCATCCTCCACCTCATCTTACTGAGCTTATATACAAAATTAGGAAGACTTTTAAATTTGAGAGGTCGATGAACCACCTACGACCGATTCAAATCCTCATGAATCTTTAACTTTGAATCGGTGATTTAAGATTTGAACCCTGAATAAGGTGATTTTAATGCTACTACTGCTACTATTTCATAGAAAATATAAACAATATTTAGTTTAAAAATAAGTTCAAAATGTGTATTGTTTTTGTTGAAAGGTGGATGGCTGTTGAAAGATTAATGGCACCCTTGGTCTTTATAAGAACTTATACATTTTAAACTGAGAGGAATAAAATCATGATGTTTTGCAGAGATATAAATCTAGAATCATTTCACTACTTTTAAACTTTTTACTTCTATTTAACCATTTTCTTAAAATATTACTGCCATGGTTAATTCTAGTCAGCGCAGCTGAAAAACGATAAATCTGTGTCCGAATTTTATAAATTTAAGCCGCGTCTCAAATCCCCAAAAACCGGTTTCAATTGAGCGGCGGCTTAAATCTTGAAAATTTAAATACAAAGGAATTGAGTCTTTGGAAAAAAATCAAATATTTAAACCTCAATATCTTTAGAACTCGATGTTGTAAACCTTTGATATTTCAAACTCAGATTACTTGATCTAACAGAATTCAAAGTTTGAAATATCTAAGGTATGCAACATTTGGTTCGAAAGATATAGTGATTAGAAAATCAGAGTTTGTGGCAAAGACTCAATTCCTTTAAGTGGAAACAACAAAATTTGATCCTTTTGCTTTATACTTACTCCTTTTACCCTCTTGGGATAGTAAAATAAAAATTTTACATGGCAAAAATATAGAAATTTCTGTAAAATATTCAAATTTGGAAATCTGTAGTTTTTCAGGAAATTGCCAAAAACATGACAAAAAACGGATTGGACGGTTTTCAAATAATGCTGTATGTACTATGTATATACACATTTTCTCTATATCAGGGGCCGATAAAGAACCTTTTTAAAAGAATTATTAAGATTTTTAATTCGCATTTCAAAACTTTTCAAGCTGAGAACACAATGATATTTTATGGGGAAATGGAGGCTTGCATAAGGTTTCATAGGAGCAAATGAAGGGAGGGGAAGTAAGTAGGTTGAAGATAAGGAAGGTTAAGTTATCACTGTTCCAGTTGATTTAACAAAAGGATTTCCTGTGTGTCAGAAAATAGAATAAAATGAAAAGGAAAAGGTTATTTTGTATTTATTTCCTGCAATCTCTGACACTGGATGTGCACCTAAAAAGTTTTCCAAAGAGAAAGTTTATTTTAAATTTTGGGTAAACTTTGTCAGACCATGACATATTTGGGGTTGCTGTTAAAAACGTTTTCAACAGTAAATACAATATACAACCGCCCTTCCTTATACCAGAGATGTTGTTTAAAATTATCAACCACAGTGCGATAGGAATTTTAGTTTTAGTTTACTGGATCAACCAACATATGGTGTCTCGGAGTTTCACTAAAAAACGAAAAAGAGCAGATCAACTTTATGAAACTTTTCATTTGTAAAAGAAAATTTAGTAAAACTTAAAATATCAAAACTACGAAAATGCTAAACACTATTCAGAGATGCTTGAACGTATTTTCAACGTATCTTAAATGACCTATTTCTATAAAGGGTGCCCTTCATATGACTATAAATGACAAACCCTTTTATCCCTGAAAGACTTGGCCGGGGATGTGGGATTGTAAAATGGTTGAATAATCTATGAAGAAAAAAATGTTGAACACAGACAGCAAAACTACAAAAGGTTTAAAGGAGACAGTTTAGTATTCTTATTATAATTGCTCTTTTGTATAATATTGTAGGAAAATTAGCAATCTTTCTGGTTTGAACTATCAGACAATACTTCCGGCTGCTATGTTTTCATTACCAAGGACATGTTTTCTTTATGCCATCATTCACCCTTCAGTGTATTGTCTGTAAAAATTATGTTTTCCAATAAGAATTGTAGATTCGACTGNGGGGGGGGTAAGCAATATTAAGTTTACACCATAAACCCTTTTATTCCAGTCAAATAATGCTCGTTCTCTATAAGACATCGTAATGTTGCGTTAAAGTTCTGAAATATGACGAAAAAATGGTTATTTCCGTAAAAACTCTTAAAATGGGTATTTTATACACGAATCAGAGCCCAAACCAATACATGGGCGGGCTTGTGGTGCCCCTACATCTTTGATTAATGGTTGTTAGAATCTATAGATTATCTTGAATCCTTTCTAATTTGTGTAAAAAAGTTTTGTACATGTTTTTCTCCCGAAATATTCGGCTTTAACAAAGACGACATTCTAAATATATTGCGGATTTACAGGATCCATTAAATTATTTGCCACTTTTTATTTTGTTCCGTATAGAAAAGGGATAAAAATCGATCTTTATTTTTTCTATATCTTATTCATTGCATGTTTCTACTAAGACACATGGTTTGATTTATCTATCTTTCTCTATAATTTCTATATTATTTTAACATTTTTATCTTCTGTCATCATATTCTTTATTAATTAAATCACTACTTTAATCTTTCTATCCATAATTTTATCTATTATAATGATATATTATCTATGGACTATATGCCTCCTTTTTTCTTTTATGTGGAATAATGAAGTAGGATGCCAAACTTAATATTTAGAACATTATCTGGCGTAGACACAAATTAAATAGTTTCATAAATTAAACAGCGTCACTTTATAGACTTAACATAATCCAAGGCAAGATAGACAGATAGACTGATAGACAGATAGACAAATAAACAGATAGACAGATATACACATAGACAGATAGACAAATAAACAGATAGACAGATATACACATAGACAGATAGACATATACACAGACAAACAGATAGAAAGATCGACAGATAGACAGATAAACAAATAGACATATAGACAGATAGATAGATATACAGATAGATAGATAGACAGATAGACAGATAGATAGATAGACAGATAGATAGATAGACAAATAGACAAATAGACAAATAGACATATAGACAGATAGACAGATACACAGACAGACAGTTAGAAAGATAGACAGATAGACAGATAGAAAGACAGATAGACAGATAGAAAGACAGATAGACAGATAGACAGATAGAGAGATAGACAAATAGACAAATAGACAGATAGACAGATAGATAAATTAAGACACAGGCAGACAGAAAGCCGCAATTTACAAAGATGCATAAAATGAACTTCCCCACGAAGGGTACTGAAAAACAATAAAAAAAATGAGAAAAAATCCACAGATAAAAACTGTCTTATGGGCTTCCTAAATTGCATTGGCCAATTTGTTAACATAGTTCTTATAAGAACCGATTTGTGGGGGAAAAATATTTTTTTAAGTATCTGAATACTTTTGAATTTTTAAGATGGCATGTTTATTGATTACCTTGTCAAGGTCTCTGAAAAATGCATAGTTTGGCACATTTTGTATTTTTTTGCACAGGTTTTTGCTAAATGATTGGATGACTTTATAAAAATGTTATATACAAGGCTATGGCGCTTCTCTTTCTATAATTGAGCTCAGCTATTCTTGGTCCCATGTATGTAGATATTATTGATCTACTATGTAAATTTTATTTAGTTTAAGTAAGTTAGTAGATTTCTGTATATATAGTAGATCTACTGGTAGGCCTACTAGTCCAACCGGATGTAAACATCTTGATTACTGATCTATACATACCTAACGGAAGTATGAGATAGATAGATAATGAAGGAGGATGGATGAGAGGAGGAGGAGGAGAGGGGGGGAAACCTCAAGATTGAGAGTATACGGAGAGAAACAGTGAATCTCCGACCATAATCAGGTTCAGATCTATGCACTAAGGTCTCCCTTCGATATTAGAAGAAACATGAAGATGATATTCGACCTGTTGTATGCTTCCAACCCGTTTATCATCTCTCTAATTTATAAAAGCAGGCTACTTTTTCAGTAATGAGACATGATTAAATTTACAGTTTTAAATACAAATATTTACATAAATGATTTTAAACTGAGAGTTTTTACAGTACACAAAGAGAAAAATATTTTCAGCATCGAGAATACATTAATATTTTGCCGGAACAAATCAAAATGCACTTTTCGTATTGCAGAATGAATGAAATTTTCAAGGGTTTGATGATAAATTCCACTGTTCAAATGATAAATTCCAATGTCGTTTTTCTTGTAATTTAAAAATTTTTTNAAAGGAATTGAGTCTTTGTCACATGACTCAATTCCTTGTCTTTGCAACCCATTGTTGTAGACCTTAGATATTTCAAACTATGAATTATGATCAAATAATCTAACTTTGAAATATGAAAGGTTTACACAAATATCAGATTGCAAAGATATAGGGATTTTTAGTTTGTGGCAAAGAGTCAATTCATTTGTTTAAAATAATTAGCAAGTTACAGGAACAAATTTTATGATGGACATTTGTTTCAAATCTAACTATTTTTATATTCTTGTGTTGGTGCGAGAATAGTTAGAGACATTTTTGTTGAAATTAACCATAGATTAGATTGATCTTACATTTAGAGTATTTAAAAAAGATGAATTGTCTAACAAGAAAATCTGGGAGTTATTTAGAAATATCAACTTTAAATCAAACAAGGTATTTTTAAATAATAGATATTGTATACAAAACTCCTTTATACTAATATGTATAGAAATGACAAATTGATATTAATTGATATTAATTTATCTATTTACTGATTTATTGACTTATATGGTTTAATTTAAGTCCTAAAGCTTGTCTGCTAGAGATGTTCTAAAAAGTGAGCAAGAGAAACAAAATATAACGTTCATGGGCTACGTACCGTACATGTTTAAAAATTAACGGAAGAGTCTGTTAACGAACGACAACACCGTTAATTTTCAACATTGTTAACGAACGAAAATAGCCGTTCTTGAATAAAATTCTTCTTTCATATTTTATTGTAGGATAGAGTGCTGCTGCAAATCAGTTGAAAACTCTCAAAAATTAGCTCAAGAACCAGAAACAAGGTTTTCAGAGATTATAAAAAGATTTTAGATTAAACAATACAGCGACAATTTAAAAACTTTTAAGTTCAGACTTATGTCACATTAAACTTTTAACAAAAGAATTAAAGTTTCTTAAATTGGATTTCTTTAAAGTTTTAAACTTATCCACATATCCATGCATTAAAAATATATTTCAAGTGATACAGTATAACTATTAAGAATTGTAAGAACTGAGTTTGAAATATATTTCTGGAGAATTGGAAAGGTATAAATTGAACTGGGTACCAAGTAATATTGGTATACAGATTCAATTTCAGGAGAGATTTACTTAATCCGAAATGTTAAAAACATATAAAATTACTTCTGTTAGATTACGACAATTTAAAAGCTCCAAACTGGTCGAACTAAACAATTTCAATATTTGGGAAGATTTTGGGTTTTATTTTATTAATATTTACTACAGGCTAAAATTGTGAAGGGCGGGTTTTAAAAAGTAGTCGATTCTCTATCGATCTAGTTCAACTATAGTTCTCTTTTCATTAATTCTCTAGTTAATTTAATTAACTGAGAAAAGGAATTCAGTTTTTGCCATAAACTCTCATTTTTTAATACCTATATATCTCTGCAATAATATGTAGTAGACCTCTGATATTTCAAACTTTAAATTCTATTAGATCAAATAATCAAAGTTTGAAATATCCAAGGTTTCAGTTTACACCATCAGAGATGGAATTTAAAGAATTTCTTCCTCAATATCAAACCTAAAAGTAACAACCAACGTCAAGTTAACAATGACAGCCATCTTGAATCAGCTGATGAGTGCACAGCGTGTTCTGCGTTGCGAATTAAGAAATGCGAAAAATGCCGCAAACTCTGCGAGGTTTGTAATAATGTATCCCTAGAGAATAAATATTCAACCTCTTCACCTTGTAATTGTACAAGAAATACAAATCAGGTAATTAAGATCAATCTTTCTTAAACTATCTTCAGCTAATTAACTTAAAAATTTAAAATAATATCTTGCATGAAAATATTTTATCCTGAGTTGTTTGCCACCAACTTTTATTGCTCTAGATATATTCTAAAGCCTTTCGTGCTATTTACACTGGAATTTATTGCAATCCTTGTGTTTCTGAAAGCTATTACCCCGAAAGTTTTGAACTTTGTTACAGAGATGCGAAGGGACTGCAGTTCCCCTATTCAAAATTTTCATAATAACCAAATATTCAAAATTAGGCATTATGCCAATCTTATTCAAATTAAAGTCCCTGAGAGCCAGATTGCTCTAAATATAATATATCTAACAAATAAGAATAATTAGAAAAGTGTTTAAAATCTACAAAATTTAAAAACGCGGAGGAAAGATCTAACATTCTGGTCTTGAAGACTTCTTTGACCATATGTCAGAATATTTGTGTTGTGTATCTCAGGATTAAAGGGACTGTTAAGGAAAATTGAAAGGGGGTATAGGCTAAAACCTAACCAATATAAAACCTAAATTAGTTCTATCGGAAGTTCCTGTCTCGAAAAATTGATATAAATTGATATATAATTTTCAGATTCGTTGCGTACTTGCTGAATCTGAGGCCGAATTTAAAGAATTTGAGCCGCGGCTTAAATTCAAGCCGCGGCTCAAATATAGTTGGTTCCACTTAAAATTGTATTCAATTTTGCGAGATTTAAGCCGGCGCTAAATTAAAACCAGTTTTTGGCAGATCACGTGGATTAACGGTTCTGTCAATATTTCAGAAAACTGTGACTTTCGATCACAATTTGAACCCTTTTACATAATTTTATAGCATTTTATTATGAATATATTTGTGTTGGCATATACATTTTAAATGAAAAAGTATAAAACAAACAAATCTGTAAGTCTAAAGACTGTTGAGTTATAGACGAAAACACGTTTGATTTCAAATAAAAGAGACCGAATGCTTCTCTCTCTCGTTAGTTCGGGGTGAGATTTAAACCCCGGTTCAAATTCATTAAATTCGGACACCGATCTGTTTAAATTTGCGATGTCTATACCACATCTCATATATATATATATAAGTTTTGGTATAACGTTGACACAGTTGTTATCAATTTCTCGAGACAAGGACATCAGATAGAACTCAAATAAACCAGAATATTAGATCTTTTAAATTTTGTGGATATTAGACACTTCCCTATTTATTCTTATTTGTTAGATAAAAAAGTCTTTAATATTATGTTTAGAGCAATATGGCTCTCAGGAACTTTAATTTGAATAAGATTGGCATAATGCCTAATTTTGAATATTTGGTTATTATTCAGATCCTATGGATCTTTGTAACAAAGTTTAAAACTCCTGACGTGTTTAGGTTTCATCCTATACCCCATTTAATTTTTCCTTAACAGTCCCTTTAAGCATTTATTTCCGTTAAACAATATGGATTACTAATCGTAGGATCAAGCATTAATCCTCAAATTTAAAAGTGCTCAGATTGAATATGATTATAATAATAACCAAATATTCAAAATTAGGCACTATGCCAATCTTATTCAAATTAAAGTCCCTGGGAGCCAGATTGCTCTAAATATAATATTAAAGAATTTTTTATCTAACAAATAAGAATAAATAAAAAAGTGTCTAATATCTACAAACTTTAATAACGCGGAGGAAAGATCTAATATTCTGGTCTTGAAGATTTCTTTGACCACATGTCAGTACTTTTGTGTGGATCTCAGGATTAAAGGGAGTGTTAAGGAAAAATGAAAGGGGGTATAGGCTAAAACCTAAACAATATAGGAGTTGATCGCGACCAAAATGAGTTCTATCTGATGTTCCTGTCTCGAAAAATTGATATAAAACTGTGTCAACGTTATTTACATATATAATTATTAGATTCGTTGAGTATTTGCTGAATCTGATCTATTTAAAACTGCGATGTCTATACCACATATATATACATATATATATATGTATATAAGTTTTGGTATAGCGTTGACACAGTTGTTATCAATTTCTCGAGACAAGGACATCAGATAGAATTCAAGTAAATCAGAATATTAGATCTTTCCTCCGCGTTATCAAAGTTTGTAGATTTTAGACACTTCTCTATGTATTCTTATTTGATAGATAAAAAAGTCTTTAATATTATGTTTAGAGCAATCTGGCTCTAAGAGACTCTAATAAGAATAAAATTGGCATAGTGCCTAATTTTGAATATTTGGTTATTATGCAGATCCTTTGCATCTCTGTAACAAAGTTTAAAACTCCTGACGTGTTTAGGTTTCATCCTATACTCCATTTAATTTTTCCTTAACAGTCCCTTTATGCATTTATTTCCATTAAACAATATGAATTACTAATCGTAGGATCAAGCATTAATCCTCAAATTTAAAAGTGCTCAGATTGAATATCGAGATCAATAGAATAATGATTCTTTACAACAAGTTTACACTTTAGTAAAAATTTGTTTTTGGACGTCTTTTTAATTAAAAAATAATATGGATATTTTTGTATTTTCATGTAAATAAACTTTGACCCCCCCCCCCCTTCTAAAAAAACATGGAATAACATGACCTTTTCCAAAAGTAACAAGATCATAAAATATTCAAATTTTGTAAAAGTCTATTTTGCCTTGTTGAATATATTAAAATTGTAATAAAAGTGATAAAGTTGTGATAAAATCCTTAGATTTGATTACTTGCTAATATTTCTATATAGGGAGGAAGATTCACACTAAGCAAGATACTCAGTGCAATTATCAGTCTTATCATTGGGACTTCAACAAGGAACAATATCATTTCTTTATTCCATTTTTCTCTAAAATCTCAATCATAGTCCGGGGTAACATATTATTTAAATTGTTTATGAATTTTTTTTTTTGACCACCAACTGAATTGGGTGAGGTTCGCGCACCAGAGAAGTTTATTACAACTGTCTCATGGAGGCGTATACTTCATCGAAACTACTCAATCATTACATCACCCGGGCCGATTTGAGTGTTGACAGGTTTTGCATGTTATGTAATTTAATAACATTGGTCGGAATGCTGGGAGCAAGCAAGATGTTCATTGCTAGATTACAATTTTAGTTGCAATCTTTTCACCGTACCTTGTGACGCTACTCACTAAGCCACGGGAGCCAGGAAGCTACTATGATTCAATGGCTACAACAAAAATTAAATTGTTTATTTTTCCTTGCTGTCTAACATTTTGAATTTCATTTTTCAAATATTTTCTCGAAACTCTTCATTACATGCAACTCCAGTATTAACTGTCCATTCAATCAAAAAATCTGTTCATTGAATTTATTGTTAATATATAATGAAATTAAAGGAAACAATATTCCTCAGAAATGTTCATTACAGGTTATGAAAATAAAAAAAGTTTTAACAAAAACTCCATTTTAATGATTATATATATATTACATTTAACTTTAAAGTGATAAATTCTTTTATTTTGGGACAAAAATAAAATCATTTTTTTTTACTTCATTCATTTTACCTTACAAAAGGAAATTATTGTAGATGGTACTAAAGGTTTCACATTTTTATGATTTTCATCATTTCCTAAAGAAATAAAGATATAATGAAGAAGGAGCAGAAAAAGATATGATAAATTGGCGCAAACCGAAGAAAGGTCAGTACAATTTACGCACGTGGCTGAGCCAACCACCATTTTATTACCGACATTTTATTTTGGCGCCAAAATACCTCCTATCTTAACATTCTTTACTCATTTTTGCAATACTATATAATAACGTTCTTAGTTATAACATTTGATAAATAATTCTATTATTTCAAAATAAGATTTTCGATTTTAAAATAAAAATTTTTAATGTTAAGTTGTGAGAAAGGGTTAAGAATAAACCCCCCGGTTTACTTGCTTTTAGATCTGAATTTAAAGTTAAAGCAGAACTCAATATTTGATTCTAATCGATGGAATAAACGAATTTTACAATATCTTAGTCAAATGAACTCTCCATTTAAAGAGTTGTATTTTCGGATTCACAACGGTACCCTTGAAAGGTTTGTATGATTAAGAATCCATATTATTTCCATTATTTTCTCTTTGAAAATTTTATTCAACTAGCTATCATTTCTTTATAATGTATGTGTACATTTCTGCTTTAGAATTAACGGAGTAAATGTTCAGAATTAACCCCTTTTCAAGCCGAAAAAATGTAGGATAGAGTGCTGCTGCAAATCAGTTGAAAACTCTCAAAAATTAGCTCAAGAACCAGAAACAAGGTTTTCAGAGATTATAAAAAGATTTTAGATTAAACAANCAATGCAGGGGGAGGGGTAATATACTAAATAGACTGACAGACATTGGAGGTAATACACTATAATATATTTAGACCAACATGTACGTAGTGTAGACATTGCGGGTAATAAACTTCATAGACATGCAGTCTAACTTAGATATTGGGACTATAAAAGATTTGGTATATTACTTGAAATATTCTTAGTTCTGAATTATCAATGATTACAGAAAGCGTGTGCAAGTGCAAATTAGAAATAACATTTCAAATATTTTATTCTAAATTTGAAGTAAATTTCCACTATTTAGGTGTTCTACGTGTGAAACATTGTTCAACTCTGTAATGGAGTTAGAACATCACAAGGAGAGTTTAGAACATTGGTCTGAAGATGAGTGGGAGGAAGAAGATGAGGTATTATCTATTATTCATGGGATCATTATAATGATTATTGATTATATTCAAATAGATTATCAAGTACAACAGGCGGCAACAGAGAAATGGACCAATTATGCATGACGTCACAAGTGTCATAATATAACAAGGAAAACCATATTTTCTCACACTAGAGTTGACATGTTTTCCACGATTAAAAAAAAAGTGTAAAAACAGAAAATAAGAAATGACACTAATGACGTAAGAACATAACTGTACTGAGAGTATACAAATTCTACGTTGCTATCTATTGTACTTGACTATCTATTTGATTATATTGGTTTTTATTAGGGATTAAATAGATTCTAGTGCAATAGATGGCAACGTAGAATTTGTACACTCTAGATTCTAGTACAATGGATGGCAACGTAGAATTTGTACACTCTCAGTACAGTTGTATTCTTACGTCACAAGTGTCAATAGTTTTATGGATGGAGGATGGAGGTTGGGAGGATGATATATTATACATCCTCGATGGAGGTTTGGAGGATGATATATTATATATTCAGGATGGAGGTTGGGAGGATGAAATACAGATTCTTGAAACATGTTTCGGGGTAACTGAGGAGGATCTTCTACTCTCCTATGCTCAATAAAGAAAACATATTTTTCTAATTCTTCTAAATTTATTTGAATAAATTCTATGATATTCCTTTTCAGATAATAAAGATTGAATGAGAGTAAGGTTCATATGATAAGGATTGTATAAGAATAATGTTCATATAATAAAGATTGAATGAGAGTAAGGTTTATATCATAAAGATTGTATAAGAATAAGGTTCATATAATAATGATTGAATGAGAGTAAGGTTTATATCATAAAGATTGTATAAGAATAATTTTCATATAATAATGATTGAATGAGAGTAAGGTTTATATCATAAAGATTGTATAAGAATAATTTTCATATAATAATGATTGAATGAGAGTAAGGTTTATATCATAAAGATTGTATAAGAATAATGTTCATATAATAATGATTGAATGAGAGTAAGGTTTATATCATAAAGATTGTATAAGAATAATGTTCATATAATAATGATTGAATGAGAGTAAGGTTTATATCATAAAGATTGTATAAGAATAATGTTCATATAATAAAGATTGAATAAGAGTAAGGTTCATATGATAAAGATTGTATAAGAATAATGTTCATATGATAAAGATTGTATAAGAATAATGTTCATATGATAAAGATTGTATAAGAATAATGTTCATATGATAAAGATTGTATAAGAATAATGTTCATATGATAAAGATTGTATAAGAATAATGTTCATATGATAAAGATTGTATAAGAATAATGTTCATATGATAAAGATTGTATAAGAATAATGTTCATATAATACAGATTGAATTAGAGTAAGGTTCATATGATAAAGATTGTATAAGAATAATGTTCATATGATAAGGATTGTATAAAAATAATGTTCATATAATAAAGATTGAATGAGAGTAAGGTTCATATGATAAAGATTGTATAAGAATAATGTTCATATGAAAAAGATTGTATAAGAATAATGTTCATATGATAAAGATTGTATAAGAATAATGTCCATATGATAAAGATTGTATAAGAATAATGTTCATATGATAAAGATTGTATAAGAATAATGTTAATATGATAAAGATTGTATAAGAATAATGTTCATATATACAGATTGAATGAGAGTAATGTTCATATGATAAAGATTGTATAAGAATAATGTTCATATGATAAAGATTGTATAAGAATAATGTTCATATGATAAAGATTGTATAAGAACATGTTCATATGATAAAGATTGTATAAGAATAATGTTCATATGATAAAGATTGTATAAGAATAATGTTAATATGATAAAGATTGTATAAGAATAATGTTCATATATACAGATTGAATGAGAGTAATGTTCATATGATAAAGATTGTATAAGAATAATGTTCATATGATAAAGATTGTATAAGAATAATGTTCATATGATAAAGATGGAATGAGAGGAAGGTTTATATTATAAAAATTGTATAAGAATGTACATTCCTTACCTCCTTATATCTACTTGTTCCAGAACTCGACGTCACCAGAAGCCACTCTGAGATACCCAAAATCGAGAAATCAAGAATAAAAAACGAAATTGACCATTTAACTGGAAAGGATTTGATGATTAGCTCTACACTATCAACTTTACCATTAGCAAATTGAGAATTCATTAAAAGGCCCCTCTGCAGTTTAGATAATTTAAAGTGCAGGGGGAGGGACCGAGGGTGCCCCCCCCTCCAATCTCTGCCTTAAATAAAGAAGTTGCATGAAGACACCCTGTATATCAGCAGATTGCAGAAAAAGATTGAGACAAAATTAGCCGTAAAATCGATGATTCACTAACAAGAAGAAGTGAATTGAGACTTTGCAAATATCATCTGATGATTTATACAATTTTGTAAAAAATCAAAAATAAAAACGTAGAAAAAAGATTGTATAAGCGTAAGGTTTAGATAATAAAGATTGTATGAGAATAAGGTTTAGATAATAAAGATTGTATGAGATTAAGGTTTAGATAATAAAGAAATTGTATGAGAATAAGGTTTAGATAATACAGATATTGTACAGGGTGTCCCAAAAAACATGGGAATTCAGTGACGAATTCGATATCGTCTTTGTTATGAATTAGCATTGTAATACCTAATTTCAAAAGAAATAATATTATTATGTCTGCTAGAGTTTATTTTATGAAAACGGTAAAAGACTGTAAAGATGTGTCTATAATGTCTCCGCAAGATGAATAGTGAAGACGGACAAGTTTACTCTGTTTGTATACTGCAATTTTCTTGTTTTACTNTTCTTTTCCCATGATATTTTCCACCCCAATTCCACCAATAAATTCAATCTGAATCTGAAAGCCACAAAACTGTTAATATTTACAGGAAAGAAGATTTTATTCGAGTTGTCGTAATTCATTACCTTTTGGAAACAAAAGCATTTACAGCATTTAGAATTCTGTAGATTAGCGGTAAGGTTACTTTGGTCCTACGATACTTCTGACCCTTACTGCAACATCGGATTAACGAAAGCTATAGGTCGGATGTACATTCTATTTTGTTTTAATCCGACCCACACAGGAACTGCAGTATGTATAGTTGACAGAGCTAGCATAAGGATCTCGCTGCTACCGTTGCACAAAAATTTGTCGGATTCACATACTTTTGTAGGTCGGATTCACTTTTTTTTTAGGTCGGATGAACTTTTTCTAGGTCTGATGAATTAGGTTTGGTTCAGTCTGGGCCGAGCGCTGCGACCACATTATCAAATTGACTTAAGTGATTGCCGAGGTTTGGTTAGGACAATTTCTGGGCAGAGCGCTGCGACTACTTAATAACTGTGCATCTTTCCATAAATATGCGTCGTCTGACAAATAAAATGTGTGCATCCGACCTACTAAGGTTTTCATCTGAGATGCAGATGCAGTGCATCCCACCTACAAAAGGTCTGCATTTAACCTATTCAGATAAGTGTGCAACAGACCTGCAGTAGGTCGGATACACTAATTTTTTTTTCAATTGAGTGTTTAACCGAGATACGGTTCATCAGACCAACAGCAGCTAGAAGCTACTGAAAACCACGTGCAAGTAGGTCCGAAGTCTCGTAGGACAGATGTAACGTTGGGCTGATATAATACAATCCTATCTGTAAAAATATGTTCTCAAAATGACGAAATATCATTCTTCACTTGTCAAATTGTTCATCTTTTTAGAATAGTTTTCAGAAGTGTCCAGTTTTTGACTTGTGAATACCTCTTTATCGCCCCTAGCGCAGTTTAAAAAAAATTAAACTCAAAATGAATTTTATTTTCTGTCCTAAAATTTTCAAAAAATGCATTCAAGATGGTTTATTTCCATACATATTAAATAGTTAACATTATTCATCGAGTAATTTAGGAGAACAGAAAAAGGAGATTTAATAATCGCGGAATCATTATTATTTATGTTTGTTGTGAATGTGGTTGTACTGCTGTATTGTCACTAGTATGTTTATAAAGCTCTAGTTCATCATCTGCTTCATCCTGTTGAGAGCTGACCCGGCGTGGAACCATGAGATCTGCTGCTCGTTAAATGTATGATTGAGAACAATATTCTCAGAGCTACCATCAGCATGGTGCAGACAAGCAGTTACAGGCTAAACAATATAACAATCAATAAAAAAATTTTTACTCAAAATTCAAGAAACACCAGATTTAGCAAAGTCCCCCTCCCTTCTCCTTCCCAAGAGAGTTCATAATTTCCCTTATTCGATCGAAAACATAAATCTTCTCAACAATCTTTTTTTTCTGATCATCATTGAGACAAGGCTTAAAAATAGAAATCATTTAAGAAAAAAAATCATATGCAGAGAAAAATGTTTAAAAAAAAAAATAAGCGTTTTTGAATATTTCGGAATCACGATATGAGAGTATAATTACCCTGGCAGGAGCGAACTCCTTGAGACCAAGAATAGAAATCTTATCATCAGGTCGGATCTTGTCATAATCAGCTTTATCTGCGAAGGTTAGAGGTAGCATACCCTGCTTCTTCAAGTTAGTTTCGTGGATTCTAAACAATAAAATATTTGATAACAGGCTAAGGGAGCGTACAACTTTTACAGTACAATTACAGAGCTGAAAGTTTAAGGAATTTTACTTTACCAAGGGTTCCCAACACAAATTTTGTCTACAAAACATCTAGAGCGAGTGATGTTTTGTAGGCAAAATTGGTCGAGAAAACCTGTGGTTAAGTATATAAAGTAGATGTTCACAATTTTATCATCTTTTGAGATGAAACTGCGCAAATATTTTCACAAAAGCTTCCCAAAGTGGGGCGTTATCTTACTAAACGTCCATTTGTTGGGGGAATCATAGGTCTGTAATGTTGGTCAAAAGGCGGTTAACAAATAATTCAACAAATTCTCGAATACTTTTCTTAGTGTTAAGTATTCAATGAAAACTAAAATAACAACCAGAAAAAAGAAATCAAGTCTACAATGCTTCAACCCAATTAAGATTGTTAAGAAATGAGTAATCAGCCAAAAGCACGTATTTGATCAACTAAATAGTAGTTAACCGCCCAATATAGAGTGGTTAACCGCCCAATATAGAGTTAATTACTGTATTCTAACCTGGCAAATGATTTAGTGATGATAGCTCTACCCCCGAGGAATCTAGGTTCAAGAGCAGCGTGTTCTCTAGAGCTTCCTTCTCCGTAGTTCTCATCTCCAACCACAACCCAGTAAATACCTGCACATTGTACAATACACAAATATTTGTTCGAAGGGATGAAGGAGCTGAAGACGGTCTGAGCTAGGGTTGACGTTAACAACAACAGCTGAACCATCAGCAGGAGGAGCCTGGTAGGTATCTTCACCAGCATCAAAACCTCTCTGGGGGAGCTCATCACCATACGGAGAATTCAACAGAAAATCAGATCCATCAGCTGCCTTCAGTTTATCAGTCAGAGGATTGAAGTCAAGAGTTCCTGTAAAAAAATAGAGACATAGATTCAATTAGACATTATATTTTAAGTTCAATATTAAGAGATTTTTTAAATATTTGTAAAGAAGGTTCTAATTTTTTAATGACTAGTTTAGCTAGATCACTATCCAATTAAATATTCCGAATTCTAGCCCCGAAACATATTTTGGAGACACGTTCATTCAGGGGTTCATCTGAAGACTTTCCTTTATGCAAGATTTTATGAACTACTTTTTATTTTGAAAAATATACACCCCTGTTTTATTTACCTGCAAGAGTGAGTGCAACTGTCATCTCAGGAGAAGTAACGAAACCGTGAGTGGCGGGGTTAGCGTCATTTCTTCCAGTAAAGTTCCTACAATAATATACAAATAAATAAAACATTTTGGATTCCAGCTTTCATTACATTTACGATAAAACAAACAAAGCTAGAATACAAAATACAGACAAATACTGCAAATAAAAACTAAATGAGCACTAATGAGAATATCTGTTGGCTCCGTTTCTGTTATTTTAAAGAAAATCCAACTTTTTTTTTAGCTTTAGCAAATGTAAAACCCAACCTGTTGTAAGATGTGACGATAGTATTCTTCTCTCCTTTCTTTACATTTTTCCTGTCCCACTGTCCAATGCAAGGTCCACAGGCATTAGCCAACACAATTCCTTTCAAACATTTCTAATTCAGTCAACATTCACAGGAGGGTTTTGGAAACCAATCTCTTAATGTTTTAAAGTCAAATTTCATCACTTTTCTCTTATTTGTCCAATGTAATCAGCAAGGCACAAAATTATAACACTTACCTCCGAATTCTCTCATTGTTTCAGCAAGTCCATCTCTCTCAATAGTTGCTCTAATCTGCTCTGATCCAGGAGTAATATAGAAAGTTCCCTTGGCTTTCAGCCCTTTGTCTAATGCCTAACAACAAGAGGTTAATAATAATGTCTGGGGCTCATATGGAGACAATCTTCTATAGTTTGGAGTTCAAATATTTATCCAACTATGGTTTTATATTCAGTTCTTTCAGTTCTTAGAAATAAATAACAGGAGTAATTATTTTTATTGGGAAGGTTTGGTATCTTGAGAGAACTAAAGTTTAATCTACCTGCTTGATGAGTGAAGCTACTCTACTCATATCCTCGTAGCTGGAGTTGGTACAGGATCCAATCAAGCCATCCTTGACCTCTAGAGGCCATCCAGAAGCCTTAGCTGTCTCTCCTTAAAGGTAAAAAACACAATTTACAAAGCCCAGAAACCAATAAAAAATACACTTAGTAGGAAATTAAATGCAGTTTCGCCAAATTTTGGTGAGAAACATAAGAATTATAAAAAGACGTGACGTTAAAATAAACACAAGCTTATCTTATTCCGATATTAAAGTTATTAAAAAAATAATTACCGAGCTTGGAGATTGGAGTGCATAGATCAGGAGTAAAGGGTCCGTTTACATGAGGTTCTAATGTATCAAGGTTGATCTCGATAACCTAAATATTTTGTTAATTATTAAAACCCATTACAAACAGATGAATTATTTTGAACTTTTTATTTCATTGATGAAAGTTTTAACTTTTTTACATGCGATCAGATCTCAAGACCTACTCATTTTTAATCATTCATCTTTAATTGAAATTTCTAATGGAAGGTTTCATTAAGTTTAAGTTGACAATACTTTCAGGTGTGATGATAATAATGTAAAATATTGATTAATGATAATGGTAGTGGTAATAAAATTATAATAAAAATTATAATAATGTTGATGATTAAAATGATCTATAACAAGAAAAATTATAAATTCAACAAGAAAAATAATAAACTAAACAAGAAAAAAATTCAACAAGAAAAAATAATAAAATAAATAAAAATGAATTCAGTAAATTTCCCCAAGAAGTCCGACCTCATCATAATGACATCCTGGGTCAGGTGATAGAAGTGCTGAACTATACTTAGCCGCCACATCAGCAATAGATTTCCTAATTAAGATAAAATAAATAACATACAGTTGTCGCCGATTTTATCAATACAACAAGGCCGACTTTCTTGTCAAGTTAGGAGGTCTAAAAATCTTCTTTTTATTTATTTACAAGTAAACAAAGAGGAGCTGTTAATTGATTAATAGTTTATCTGTGTTTCTATGTATATCGTTGCAGCTTGAAACGACGACTATTGTGTTTGGTTCTTGGAATAGAAAACACGCTCTGCGGTTTACATCATAGTATCGTTTGTGAATTTCCTGTACGTAAGCACACGGAACAAAACAGAAATGGTAGAATTCAAAACTTTAAATTGAATTTCGTTTTTATCGAATTGATATATAAGAAGATGACTGTATGCTGTTGGTTCCAAGACCTAGCATTAATGCATGTTATTGTATTATTACACTGTAAATTTTAAATGGCTCTCCATTTTCAGAATGTCTGAAGACGGTATCCTTGAAAGCGTGGTAGGACCAAGAATAGATGATATATCTACGCTTTAAATTTATCATTATTATTTTGATGATTTGAGGGTTTTCTGTAAGTGACAAACAGATTTCTGCTAAAGAAACAATAACGACAGCTTCCACATTATTGATAAGATAAAGGACAAAGGTCTACAGCGTACCTATGTGAATAGGCATGCCAATGTTTAAATGAAATGAAGGTTCACTTTAAATTACGATAATCACTTCAGGTAAAAGTGCTTGAAAGTAGTTTTGACTGTTAACGAATCATTAAATTACAGTTAGATAAATATCCTACCTCTCAGTAGCCGCTAGGTAGTCAGCCATCCTACTGTTAAAGGGGAATACAGATGTAGTTGCTCCAATCTCAGCTCCCATGTTACAGATGGTTCCCATTCCTACATTACAATTGCAATGATAATGACGAAATATATTCCTAGAGGTTAATAATATTCAGCTGTCCCGTTAATTTTATCTAACACCATGAAAATCTTTAAAACGTTCTTAATTACATAACTAAAATTAATAATTTATGAATTAAACCAGAAATTTTAAATCAAAATCACATAAAAGATTACTAACTTCTAAAATTCAAATTAAATATAACTTATTCGGCACAACTTAAAAATAATAACAAAAATCCAGTTTTTGCAAAAGGTACGTACTGGGGATAAAACTGTATTTTTTACCTTTAGAATAACGTCCTTGGGACTAGTCCATCCTCTCAGCTTACCGGTCAGTTTAACTCCAATCACCTGTTTTAATAAAAAGATCAAAACGAGGGAAAATTCTTTAATTTAGGTCAACATAAACGTCAAATAAAAATATTATTATATTGTTTTCAAAATTTATTATCAATCAGGTGGCAGTTTATAGCTAGGTGGTCAAACATGTAGAATGTAGATAGTTCAGAGCTAGTGGGTCCCTCAGGTAGATAGTTCAGAGCTAGGTGGTCAACCATGTAGATAGTTCAGAGCTAGTGGGTCCATCAGGTAGATAGTTCAGAGCTAGGGGGTCAATCTGGTAGTAGTTCATAACTAGGAAGTCAATTAGATATCATTTAATAGCTAGGGATAGAAAGTTAACAGCTAGTGGTTCAATCTGGTATATAGTTTATAGCTAGGAGGTAAATCAGAAATCATTTCATATCTAGGGGGTCAATCTGATATATAGATAGGGGTCAAAATCAGGTAGAAAGCTCATATCTAAGGGTACAATTAGGTAGATAGCTCAAAACTAAGGTGAATTAGGTAAATTGCTCAGGTAGCAGTTCTAATTTGAAAATTGTAATTTTTTTGGCGAGCACACTTTTATAGTGTAACATGGTATATTTATTTAGAAATATTTCGTTTTTTACATGTAGCTGTTAATGGCTTCTTAGACGTTTGAACTTTTTAAAGGAACACTTGTGTATTGAACCAATTGAGCTTGTGTGCTAAACTTTTTTTAAGGGTGATTTTGTCAATTATACATAATACATATATAGACACACAAATTATGCAAAATGCTAAAATAGACGACATTGACCATTACTCATTACATGACTTATTCATCATTTTAATTATTACGTTATTATTGAATCCTTGAACAATGAATATATATATATATATCTCGGAAATCTTTTAAAGCCCGCAAAAAATTGCTCCCAACGCAATGAAGTTGTCTATATTCAATTCATACCTTTGGGCACTTGAGCTCCCAGGGGATATCTGCCATAACATCCACAGCATCAGCTCCACCAACTCCGATACAGAGTCCTCCAAGACCTCCACCGTTGGGTGTATGGGAGTCAGTTCCAACCATCAGCAGTCCTTAATTATTAAAAAATGCAATATTTTATAAATTAAATATTTATTTGCTTACAAACAAAGTGTTCAACAATTACGAGAGTTTCTTTAGATAAATCAGGAATAGTCTGTCATCCGTTTTCTGCCAAATGTTTAAAGGGTACCGTTGTGAATCGGAGATGTCCCTCTTTAAGTAAAAAGTTGATTAAAATTACGCTAACGGTCCCTTTCAGACCACGGGGTTAAGATTTAAGTCAGTACTTAGTCAATTAAAAATAATTAAATCTAGTTTTTTAAAAACATATATTTGCAAGAGGGATGACAGGGGGGGGACGTTTAAATCATTAAACCGTGTCTAGTGAAACATTTTTAGTAATGGAAAAATCCGAAACCATTTTCTAACCCCCCCCCCCAC